AACTGAACATGCAAATACAATCTATTTTAACAAATTAGGCATAACCATAATATTATGTTTATATTAAGAAAATTCTGTTCTTCTTCTGGTTTTCCAACTCCTCTAAATTCCAGAATTTTATTCTAAGAAGAAAAAAAAAGTGGGATTCTAAGAAATAATTAACAGCTGCTTCACAATTCTTTGCATTTGTTTTCAGGTTAAATTGCTTTAGAAGTCCACAAACTTTAAATAATCACTGGAAACTTCTACGGATATAAGCATATAAAATATTAACTGACAATATAAATTATATTGGCACATGCTTAAAATATTTAAAACTTTTTAAAATAAATGGCCAAAATGTTCGTTTTTAAATTTACAGATCTAGATAGGAATGAATTGCATTCATTCACAACATATCTTCAATGATTTTTCTTACCACATTTAATCAAGAAAACCATTTTTACACATCACCTCTTGTACTTCATTTCTTAGGAAGAACCACTATTAGTTGAATTTTTGCTGGCACAGAAACAGCCTTTACTGTCTAACTTGTGGAAAAGTGGCTTCATTCCCATTTCTAATTTCAGAGTGGAACTGATTATGACTGGGTTATGAACCCATATCCTATAGAGAGCCAATAAAAACAAAAATAGGAAAAAAAGTTTTTATAAAGAACTTTATAATAATATTTTAATAGAATTCTGTTGGCATTCTGCAATTTTGCGAGAATGTTTACAACTCTACAAATCTTAGAGACCTAAAAGGGATGCAGACTTTAACTTCTTGCACATTTACTGCCGATAAAGTTTTGGCATTAAACTTACGTTTTTCAGAAACTGTTTTTGTACTTCAAAAATCATCAGTATCTAGCAAATAATTCTTGATTGAACAATGTGTGCTCTCTCATTGATTTGTTTTCTTCGGTATTCTTAAAATGCTACTAACAAGCTTGTTAAAATGCCAATATTCTCTTATAAAAAAAAGACAAGGAAAGTATATGCAGAATAAAAAGGAATGCCAGGCATTGGTTCTTAGTTGCTTGTTTTTCTTTTTCGTTTCAGACAGACAACAATGTTCTTTCTATATTGGGGGAAAAACACACAAAAGCCAACCAAAACCCATATAACCACCCTCTTTCCAAGGTCCTCCCCTCCATCCAAACCATTCCATGACCTCTTCTTGAAAAAAATAGCATTTCAGTTTCCCAATAACTTCAGTTTGTAACCTCTCTGCCAAGAACATCCTGTCAATTAATGGCAAGTAAAATGGAGATTTTTGTGTTGTAGACACATGTCCAAAAATAGGTATCATCTAATTCATTTGACACAATTTTTAGCCATTGAATTGGTGACATTCAAATAGGAACTCAGAAGAGGAACATTATCGTACATGCCTTATCATATTGCTTGTCTCCACAACATTCAGCACACGGATTTGCGATTGAATTCAAATGTACAGGGAACAGGGTGTAATGGAGCAAAATATTGCAGCTTTTAAACTACAGGTATCTATATTATCTCAGCCAAGTCTTATGTTTAAGTTACCTGCCAAGTTTAGAACTGAATCTTTCTATACAAATATCCTCTAAATGCTCACATACACCTAATCTCTTCATTTCTCCTAATCAGCTAGACTGTGTACCTAACATTAAGTATGCTGTTTCTAAGGCATTTGGTCCATCAGGATTACTGATGTGTGCCTTTTATTTGAGACCAGTATTTTTAACCCCATTCACTGCTTTTGTATGTATTTTTGTAATATTGTCACTAGTTTTGTACAGACAAACGGAGAGTTTTGTTTTGAAGCTGCTGGAGCTAAAGCTGGGGAAAAATAATTAAAAATACTAATAATTAAAAAAAAAATCTAGAAAAGATGCATTTCTCAGAGTTACAAATCAGCAGTAGGAAACAAGAGTTTAAAAAAAAAAAACAAAAAAAAAAAAACACTTTTTCCTGAAAGCCATGAAATAAAAAACAAACTTGCTTTGGTGGGAATCTTCTTTGCCACCAATATCTAATTGTGAATGATCAACACTGATTAACAACAATGTGCATAGCCTTGCTGAAAATTTAATTGAAAGATACTATTACCTGTTATTCTGCTGAAGTAGACTATTGCATTTTCTGTATGTAGTGAAGACCAGCAGTCACTCTAAATGCTCCATATTAAAATATGCTGATTTAAAACTAAAATCATTTACTAGCAAAACAGATTATTCAGCAGAGTTCAAACTGATAACTAAACTGGTACTCTACAGAATGGCTACCCTAGTGAAAGTCTCTATTCAAGACTAATAAAGCCTCATTTTCAAAATCAATACAAAGAAGATGCTATTCAGTAATGAAAATGTAGGATGTTAATGTTTTTGCTGTGAAAGACTAAGGGGCAGAAGAGAAAAACTTTCAACTATTCTTTTGCTTTTACTGTACAAAATACAAGCTGAGTTGAGTTATTGCTTTTCAGTGTTTTGTTGTTTTTATTTTTTCTCCATACAGTCTCAAGTATTTTTGCAATCTAATTTAATGTATTTCCCACAGTAGGGCTATATCAGTTCCATGAGGAGTAAGAACATTTCTGGAAGCTTTTGAAGGTGCAAAGCCCTTTCCCCAATGGCTCTTTCATCCACCCCATAAATCTGGCCATGTTCAAGCTGTGCCCTGTACTCCACTTTCTTGGCAACCTCTCTCTGTTTATTCACTCCTTGCAGTCCAGTGGGCACCCAGTTTATTTAGAGAGTTTTCTTTGGATAACACTTCTAAATGTTGGCAACTCTGCACAAAGCACTATCATTGCTTAATATCAACACTTCTCCAGGCTGGTAAAGGGAAAAGGGTGTGATTTCTCATCTTCATATTCATCACTCTTTTATGTCCACAGGGATTAAGCAGCAGGAAGATGGGTGGGGGTACCTAACATTTGTCTTTCCAGGAAAACTCTCATTCAACGGGAATGTTGTTTTCATTCACAGTGGAAAGTGAATGAGAACCTGAAGTGAAACCTAAGTGACAAGCCAATATGAATATGTTGTGATTTGCATTTCATTTAGGTTAACCTTTGATACTCATCTTTTCCTTGCAAAGCACAATGTATATTTATGGTACAAGAAAACTGGTACTGCCATCACCACTCCTTTGAGTCAGCTGTCCTTACTTGGACAAACCAAGCGTGTTCTCAAAAAATGCCATGTAAACTTGAACTGTTACTGTATGCTCCTGGGAATGCAGTCAGTTTAGTCCTCTTGAGTAACAGACTGAGCTAGCAATGGGATTGCAGCTGGATTCTTATGGAAACAAGACTTATGCAATCAGGCTGCTTGTGTGCATGCTTGCCTGCCCCAGCCTCCCTCAACACAAGTCAGTTTCAACGTGGTAGCAGATTTCGATCAGACCTGACAGAGGGGGGAATTCACAAAAACGTCACCTTCTTACATATTTAATGAAAATAAGTGAGCCGGCAGGTGAAAGAAACTATTTGCCATAGAAAAGACATAGCACATTACACAGCTCTCACTACACAAGAAATGCACAGGAGATAAACCTTCTGAATGCCAACACTGAAGAAAATGCCTGAGATTGAGCTCTGATCATATTAAGGCACCAAAACAGGAAATTAATCCAGAAATGTAATTCCAAGTTTTATTAATTCTGTTACTCATGGAGCTACCTGTTAATTAAAATCACACCAATTCTCCACTCACCCAGCATGTCTTGCTTTTTATTAATTGCTGACTTTACGACCAAGAAACAGGGCCTGGAGAACAGGGTAACCAGTATTACCTTGGAATTGGTCAATAAACATGGAGCTGTTTGGCTGCCAAGTACCTTTACAAAATGTGTGGCAACTACATTAAAATTGCAGTACACACTGCAACAGAAATATAGGTCTGCTGATAAGCGGGCTCACCACAATCCCACTTCCTGCCAAGCCCAACAAGGTTTTGCTTCGCATTTGACTGGCACTTCCAGGAACTTCAGGGGCCTCAAAAACTAACTCCCACTGCATTTCAATATGTTGTGCCTGCTCAGCATGTTATAAAAATTAACCTGTGCAGTCCACATGGCAGTCTGAAACAAGACTAGGTATCATCGGTGATATCTAGCACTAGTTGCTAACCTTAACTTTAAAAAAATATGCAACCTAGAGTTGTCAGCCATGCCCATTGCCCCTACTCATGCAGAGAGTGAGGACCATCAGAAGAAGAATGAGAAGAATTATGTCACAGGGTATCAGGAATTTTTTTTTTCATGGTGAAACTTTGGGTAGCAGGTGTCAAGGAGCATCAAGAAACTCCATGAGGAACTTTCCCCAGATACCAAACATAGAAACTATGAAAATGGTCTGGCTCAGTTTTTTTCCAGTATGTTACATATTTTCATGTCAATCAAAACATTTATTTAAAGTACAAAATATTCAAGATCTGAACTGGGCAAAATAATTCCCACACACATTTTTTATTTTTTTTTTAATAAGAAGGTAAAAATTCCAAATATTTTCTAATTATGAATTTAATTGGAGGAAATATTAGGTGCAGAATCTTTCCTAAACTATTGAATATCAAAGTCTGTGGAAGCATGTTAAGATCTCCTAACTCCCAGCTACCAAACTTGTGGATATCTCTGCTCAGTGGGCTTCACTTCAGCTTGCCTACTGCTTAGCAAGCAGCAGAGAGGTCCACTAAGTAAACGCAGATGGAAAATGGCAAACCAGAAGCAAAGCAGCCCGAGCAAGCAGGCAGACAACAGGACAGGTTGGTGGGCAGAAACACAAAGTAAAGCAGCTCAAGAGCCGACAGCCATCTGCTTCCCTTGCACTTGCAACTGCAACATGACCAACAGGTTGCTGTGGTATTTCCTCATGGATCTCCTATAGAAACAACTCTTAACTGAGATTAGTAAGGTTTGCAATAACAAAAGTTGCCAAAAAACATATTATTTTCCCAGAACTCAATGCTGAATGATGCTTGATTGCTTGATGCTTCATAACATAACATAAACAAACAAACAAACAAACAAAAAAAAACACTACTGCTTTTAGGTTATTTTCCTTATCCAAGAAACATGTACACATGTACTACTGCTACAGAAGCACCTGGCAGTAAAAACATAAGCACATTTAAGGGCACATTTTTGTATGAATATTTTTTTATGTCAAGAGCATAGCCTCAAAAAGCTCCTTCATGTTTAAAAATGTGACTACTTTAAATGAATCACAAAAGTTAGTGCTTGCTGCACTGGCTTCTCAAGCTGTTATTTTATGCCTTAAGCCAAATTTAAAAGAAGCAACACCAGAGTGTAACATCAGCTTGTCTTCACTTACTGCCTTGCTTCATTTGCATTCTTTCAACAAGGAGCTGAGAAATGTTAAACAACCTGAAGAATATTTCTAACTTGTAACAGCAATTTTGCTATGAATTATCTTCTGATTAGTTGCATAACAAAAAGATTTCTTTATCTTTAAAGTATTTTAGGCACAGATAAATGTAAACATTTTAAAAATACTACATCATACTTCTAAACACAAAAATACTACTACACTCATTATTTTTCAGTCCAAAAGTATATTTCTAAAAAGTCCAGAAATGCTGCACTTGGTAATTGGTCCACTTGCTTTTCATTAAAGATCTTTAAGGTAAAACATCAAGGTAGAAAAATTATAATTAAATATATAGAAAGAAATACATATGACATGAGTCATTCACCTTTGTGTATGTGTGTGTGTGTGTGTGTGCACATGTGTGTGTGTGTACACGTGACTGAGAGAATATAATACTCTTCTAAAACATAATTTAGATATATCAGGCTTCAGGTAAAAGTAAGCAAATAACATGATGACACTAACTGACTAACATCTCATTGTAGTCAGAGCCTCCCAGGATGTCTGCATCACTAGTGGGACAGAAGAGGGAGCCTGGAAGAACTAACACATTGGTATTACAGCTGGCTTGTTAAAGGTTTGCAAATATTGATCGTTCCACAGTATAGAGCTATGTTTGCAGTAATGGGGGATAAGACCTGTGCCCTTGATAACAGCAAAAGCAAAAGCCAGTCTCTTTGGTGCGGGTACAGTGCAAGCCTGGTTACACGCTGCAGCCAACTGGGTTGCCAGTTATTAAGCTCTGCTGTATGGCACTGTAGCAAGGTCCTTGGCTCCCTTACAGCAAAAGCCTTGGAAAACACTAGATACAAACAGAAGATGTCACCGAGAACACAGAAAACTGAATCTCAAAAGAGGATGAAATGCGTGCTTACACATACAACTCCTGTGGCTTTAAAGCATGGTGCCCTCAGTCACCAAGTTTCAGAAACCACCCAGGTTCACCAACCTTTTCATGTAATTTTGCATTTCTGGAAGGGTAGAGGTGATGAAAGGTTAAAGCTCGGTTCTTCCTACCAAATTCTTTAGCCGCTTCTAATGCTTTTAACTAGTGTTCATCACTATTTCCACTCTCTTTCAGCTTCCCAGCTTTACCTTGTACTTTTAATACTGAACTGTGCTCCCTAGAGAACCACCCAGAGTGAAGAAGCTCTTCTGTTAGAGTATCAGCCTTTCCATGTGAATTCCTCATGAAAAATGCAGTTAGAAATCTCTAGTAGGACTCCCACTGCATTTCTACATGTTGGTCATTGGCAAAGAGAAGAGGGGAAGTGAAAAAGAGAGGATAGATGGAGAATAAAGCTGACTGGGATATTTCAGAAAAATGTTAATGTTCTTCTGAAGGAAAATACTGATTCACAAGCATCAAAAACTTTCATCAAATGGAAATAATTGGTTTTTGTCTTCCTTCACAGGAATGTTGAGGAGTCTGTGAAGCATTTTCATCATTTCAGGTGAAAAAGCCTTCTTAATGAAGTGAGGCTCAACACATTTTCAAAAAAGTATGAAATAGCTAATACTAAAGCACAACATTTGTCTAAGTCACATTTTTTACATTTGATTTGGGAAACAGTGAAAGACACCTCCTCATTGCAATTTGGGATGGAATTTTTTAAATCCCACATTTTCACAATGCAAAACCTGTTCTCCATCAGCTCTGGCTGGCAATCCCCACTTCTACACTATGTCCCAAGAAGGCACTGCAAAGGAGCTGTAGGCATTTTTGGGTATGTCTACACTGCTAAAGAGAAGAAGAGCAGGAAGAGGCCTTGTGCACTGTACTGCTGAATGCCAGGACTAAGCCTGGTTACAGTTCAGGGAACAGTTTGCTCCTGACTGCTCTTCTCTTTGGGAAGAAGGGCATAAGATGAATGAAGTGGCCAGAGATCTGTCTCTCTTCATCCTACAACATACACTACAGACACACAACTTTCAAACACCATCATACACTACTCAGTAGGTCATAAAATACCTAAGTTATAGATATAAAAACAAACAAACAAACAACAACAATAACAACAACAACAACAAACAATTAATATTCTGGTGATCTGCAACAGTTCTCCCTTTTTTTGGATACCTGGGACCAAAAATTCCCCACAGACTATGTCAAAAGGCTAGAGGATTATCATGCTATATCCAGAAGAGGCCCATGGCCTGCCAGAAGGCAGAAAAGATGGTCAGTCAACTGTGGTGCAAGTTAGCCATCAGTGGTGTGGAAAGGGGAAAGCATTATTTCACCTTGACATCAGGAGCTACTATATTCAACAGCATGTTTGTACTTACTTACTTATGTATGTATGTGTGTATAAAAACTCTAGTTTAATTGTATGGAAGTATCTTAAGGTGGGTCTGGAATTTGTTGTAATTGATTTACTTGGTGACTCCATTACTGGAAGGAGTTAATTCTGTTACACACTTACCGTGTGCATGGTTTCTAGAACGGTATCTTTATAAAAAGTAATGGAAAGATTTCTTCCATTTTAAAAATGAGCCAAAAACAAACAAACAAACAAACAAACAAACAAAAACAAACAGCAATTTCCTGGAATTTCAGCTTCAGCTTTACACTTCTACTCTTTGCAACTCCAGTGTTAATTCATTTTTCCTTTCTTGGTAATTAAACATGTTGTCCATGCTATTTAATGGAATTTTAGGGAATGCATTTACCTCTATTATCTACTTAACTGGATTATAAAATGCATCATAAACAAATTAAACTGAATAATCTAGTCTTAATTATTTAATACAGTTCTGCATTATATAAATATTACGTAGTGTATTTTTAATTTTAATTATATGTGAGATTTCACAGAAAAAAAACAACATGCTAAGGACTTTTAATATGGCAAATAAACAAGACTCATAAGACAACTTTTTTTTTCTAATATACTTAGTATAGAAAAACATTAATTAAATGTAAACATAAAAATATAGTAATCTGACTGTAGTATTCACAATACTTCAGGACTGACTACTCGGGTTTGGAGTAACTAAAGCAACAAGAGCAGACCACCAGTTTGACAGCACCAAGAAGGATGCCAGGACAGCCAGGCCTCCCTGCCCCACACACCTTCACAGAATCACAAAATGGCTGAGGTTGGAAGGGACCTCTGGAGATCATCTGGTCCAACCCCCCCGCTAAAGCAGGGTCCCTAGGACACATTACTTATGATTGTGTCCAGACAGCTTTTGAATATCTCCAGTGAAGGAGACTCTAAAAAGTCTCTCTGCAACCTGTGCCAGTGCTTGGTCACCCTGACAGTAACATAGTTTTTCTCATGTTCAGCTGGAACGTCCTGTGTTTCATTTTGTGCCCATTGCCTCTTGTCCACTGAGGAGAGTCTGGCTCCATCCTCTTGACACCTTCCCTTCAGATACTTATACACATTGATGAGATTCACTCTGTGTCCTTTCTTCTACCAGGCTGAACAAGCCCAGCTCCATCATGTGAGAAATGCTCCAGTCCCTTAATAATTTTAGTAGCCCTTTGCTGGACTGTCTCCAGTAGTTTTATGTCCCTCTTGTACTGGGGAGCCCAGAACTGGACACAGGACTCCAGATGTGGCCCCACGAGGGCTGAGTAGAGGAGGAGAATCTCCCTCAACCTGCTGACAGTGCTCATCCTAATTCAGCCCAGGATACCACAAAGGCCCATTGCTGGCTCCTGGTTAACTAGTCCACCAGGACTCCCAGGTCCTTCTCTGCAGAGTAACTTTTTGGCAAGTCATCCCCCAGCCTGTACTGGTGCATGGGGTTATTCCTCCCCAGGTGCAGGACCCTGCACTTGAATTTCAAGATGTTCCTCTCTGCCCATCTCTCCAGCCTGTCTAGACCCTTCTGAATGGCACCACACTCTGGGGTATCAGCCACTCCTCCCAGTTTTGTATCACAGCAAACTTTCTGAGGAGGCACTCTATCCCTTCATCTGAGTAATTGATGAATAGGTTAACAACATGGGACCCAGTACTGAGCCCTAGGGAACATCAGTAGCTACAGGTCTCCAGCTAGACTCTGTGCCACTGATCATAGCCCTCTGAGACCTGCCATCCAGCCAGTTCTCAGCCCACTTCACTGTCTACTCATCCAGCCCACCCTTCCCAAGCTTGCCTATAACAATACGATGGGAGACAGTACCAAAAGCCTTGCTGAAGTCACGGTAGACAACATCCACTGCTCTCCCCTCATCTATCCAGCTAATTGTCCTATCATAGAAGGCAATCAGGTTGGTTAACCATGATTTCCCTTTGGTGTATCAATGCAGGCTACTCTTGATCACTTTCTTGTCTACCATATGCTTAGAGATAGCCTCCAGGATGAGCTGTTCCATCATCTCTCTAGGGACTGAAGTGAGGCTGACTGGACTGTAGTTCCCTGGGTCCTCCTTCTTTTGAAGACTGGAGTGACATCAGCTTTCTTCTAGTCCTCAGGCATCTCTTCTGATTGCCATGACAAAGATGATCTAGAGTGGCTTAACAATGATGTCTGCCAGCTCCTTCAGCACTAATGAGTTCTAATTCCAATTCCAATTCTATTTCTAATTCCAATTCCAATTCTAAAAATGAATCAAATAGAACAAGGGCAGACCTCAAAAGACAGATCTAAAAGTAGATTCTGGTTTCGACCTGGTTCTCTTAGGAGGCAATATTTGCAGTACATGGAGGTGTGTGATTTTGTGCCGTAAGAATTGATATATTTCTTGTATTTCAGGGAAACCAATATTATAAACTGCTCTACTTAATTGCTTCCAGGTGTATGTCAATTACTACCCAAAAGGATTTCATTCCATTATTTACACACAAGCAATTAAGCATGTAATCACGTTTCATGCAGTTTACATTCAAACTGTTCAATAGAGCCTTACTCTCCAAATACAAGGAAACATTTTCCAGATATGTTTCCTTTTCAGTGGAACAATCCTAGACAAACCACTTCCTTCTGCTAGTAACAGACTCAAATCCAATTGTTAGGAGTCAAAAATCAGCAGCAAATCATAGCAGTCCTCCCTGGAATACAAGCTGCTGTTTTCAGACTTTTTTTTTTCAGTTGATGTCATGCACCTAATGGCAGTATTCAGCATACTTTTTTAGCAGGCTGGTCATGCAAACCAGGTTACAGAGTCTACAAAAACAAAACTCACTTTCAAAAGTAATACTACAGAAAACTAGCACAGACGTTTGTGAAATTTAATAACAATGCTGGTTCTTTATCACCATTCTGAGGTTATATAGCACACCAGAATTTCCAGGAATGTTTGTCTGGCACATTTCATATGTATTAAAGTTATAATAGCAATTTTATAAAGGCTGCAGAGTCTCATTATTACCAAAAGACTCATCAAAACAAATATAATCATAATTCAAAGTTAAATGACATCAATTTTTTTCAAAGAATTTTTAAACCATCACTTTCATTTTTGTATTTTGTCTGCATGGAAAGTTGCACAAAATATGTTGCTGCAGGGCTGCACCTAACTATATTGGGCATCCAGAAATAGGTGTATCTGACTCAGAATTTCTGCATGCTTTGCCAGCCAATCAAACTATGAGATGCAAGCTATGGTTAAATTAAGCAATAAGCTGCAAGTTGTGACTTATCGGTATACAACACACTGCAAGGAAGAAGATCACAACAGGAAACTGTTTTAAAGTAGTAGTTGTCCTCAGCACAGCTAAGAATATCATCACCACCGTGGCTTTGCACAGTTTGAGTCAGAGGACCAAGTGCTCTAAACTGAATGTTACAGAGCAGGATTAAACATAAAATTATGGTAAGTGCACTAAAGCAGTGATAATTCTGATCTTTGATTATTGTCTATCACCTTTTTAAATCTTTAGAAATGTAAGTATTTTTGCTTGATAATAATTATTTGTAGGCTGAATCTTCAAACCAGGTTTAGTTACTTTTCAATTATGACAAACACAGACTGGAATAAAAACAGACTTAGCTAGCAGGCAATTAGGGTTGAGGCTTTGTCATTAACCTTAAACCGAAAAGGCAACCTATGATGCAGTACTCTGCAATTGGCCCAGGACATGTGGACAACAGACCCGATCACCCGAACAAATCCCACCCTCATCCAGGTCTCCTCACCTACCCAACATCTCCACAACGGTGGGATTTTTTTATTTTTATTTTTATTTTTCCCAGAATACTATGAAGGAATGTTATGCAAATCAATTGGACCAAAACTGGTACCAGAGATTTAAAAGGAAAATGTATTTCATCATGAGAATGTGAGGATATTTGTTTTCATGCCACAAGGGTATTCAAGGGTCCCCAGATACTTTCTGTCTAAATTTTAGGAAAGCTAAAAATGAATAACGATATTAAAAGAGTGGGACAGGGGAACTAAAGAGCAATTAAGACATTGATAACCATCTCATACATAGGCAAAAAGGACAATAATTAAAAGAAAATTCAATAAGTGATCGATACTGAGAACTTTGTATTAGTAGCTCCTTTTCCACAGAACCATTATCTATTTGCTAATTCAGTCATCAGACTAACTTGCAAGGTCATTTTCTAGTTGGGAAGTGGTAAGTCTTGAGTTTGAGTTGCAATTTTTAAGGAGTTCTTTTAGTTGATAGCTATGTGTCAAGTAATGTGGCAATAAATTCCAAGCAGTGTGGCAACTTGACATCAGCCACGTTAGATGAATAAATACATGGTGTTTTTTTAGACTGATATTATAAAGAACAGTCTTCATCTATATTCATTATACAGCAAGCTGTGCTATTAAACACTGCTTTGCACAAAGGCAGCAAACATAATATACAATCAGCTATCAAACTAAAATATGTTTAAGAGCTATTTAAACAACTGAAGTATTTCCTATTGATTTTAGATTAGGAACATATCCAGATTCCCATGCCTGCAAAAGAACAATCATTTTCAGAAATGAATAAAAGTGTACGTAGCAAAATATGTTATTTTGTACCACATCATTTTCCAAACTCTATGGTTACTTTTGTAGCACTATCTTAATGACTACTTTTAAAGGAAAAGCATGTTGCCACTTACACAGTCTGTTATTCATTGCAAATGGTTAAAGCAACGATCTAAAAACATTGCCAAGAGCATATTGTGATCCATTGCAGCTGCAGGTGAGTTAGCATGTAATACGCTGAAGCTGATGCAGCATAAGCAATCACATCATGAGTACTGCACAAGAGAGTGACAAAACAGTGCTAATAAAACAAATTCTCCTTCAGGTTTCCAACTTATACAGCACCTTTGGAAATTTCAAGAATACTAAGATAAAGGATCCTACTACTTCATCGGTATTTTGCTTGAGTAAGAGCTGCTGGATGCAGACTGGAATTAATGGCTGGTACACAGCTTTAGGATTTGGCTTGCCATTTGTACCTCTTAAAGACTTCTCTATCCAAAAGTGCTAATGTTTGACTCAACAAACTGTAAGTCATGTTCTCTACTTATTATTTAATGGGTACAGAGATGTATGTCAGCACTTTTATATATATTTTTATATATTTATATGCTTGAATGCATCAGAGAGTTTCCTGAAAGGCCAAAACAGTGTGCTGAAATTTTAAAGGAAATAAATCACTGTGATAAAAGCTGCACTCTTTTCACCTCTGAACAATGTCCATGGGGTCCTCTCACATAGATGGCTATTATCAAGCCTGTAGGTTCCATTCCTGTGGTCCTGTGAGGGAGACTTGAGTTAATCAGAGAGCATAGAGGCAGTAAAAGATCATTAGTGCCTTAGGAAAGCAACCATGCACAACCAAAAAAAGAACAAGTTGACTGGCAGAGAAGCTAAAAAGCCACTCAAAGGGAAGCCACTTTAAATGGCTTTTCAGAAAAAAAAAAAAAAAAAAAAAAAAAGAGAGAGAGATTGGCTAAGAAGAAACAGAAGTTTTCTTCATCTTTCCATTGGTGTAAGAAGCTAGAAACACTTGTTCACCTCATATGCAAAAGACTTCACACACATGAAAAGGAATAGCCAAGTCTTGCCAGAGTTGGTTTTTCCCAGGATAAAAGAGCTGGCAGTCTTTGCTTTGTCTTTGGGGAAGATGAGAGTGCCTAAACTAAAAAGTGTGAGGATTCAAGAACTGGGTTTGGGTTGTCTTTTGATTTGCTACAGTTATGTGTCCTCTGATGCATTAAGAGAGCAAACATAAAAGACAACCAGAAGACATGGTTTGTATGTGCTATTTTAATGAGCTGAGTGTATTCAATGATCCAAAGCAGAACTGCAGCTGCAGACACTGTGGACTCAGCCTACCTGGGCACAATATATGTCAATTTTAAATATCTGTTAATCTCGTTGTTAGCTGGTAAAATATTATTTTTTTTACCCCTGTTTTTGAAGAATTTGCTTTAAATTTATACACGTCCTTGAAAGTTCGGTTTGTCCCAAAAGACTTAGTGATTATCTCATAGCAATATGACCAGTTGAAATCAATTAAAGCATCTCAAGAGCATGAAGTTCATCCTCATTCCATACTGAGGACTGCAAAACAGAAGTAGGCAGATGCAGAAGCTTGTTTTGAGAGAAACAGCTTCATAGAAAACATATCTCAAAACAAGCATACTACACCAACTAATGTCTTAACATTCTCAAAGTTTAAGTCATAGTGTTTTGACATTGTTTCAAAGAAACAATGAGATTGGTATTAGTCTCTTCTCCTTGAGTATCTTGTTAGCCTTTACTAGCTACTTAATGTCTTTAATTTAATTAGCATCATCAGAAAAAGTCAAGAGATGGTTGGTCTTTACTGCTATTAGTTCATCTGCAACCTGTTATGTCTGCCATGTGCTGGGAAGCTGTGTTGCCATTTTGCTTGTCCATCCACTAAGTCATCCATTTCTCAAATTCAGTATCTTCAGACAAAACCAAATAATGCAGAAAGAACTCTCTCATTAACCACATGACATATAACATTAATAAAACTGTTACACAGTGAAATTCCTGGGTTATGTAACAACTCAGTATCTGCCAAAAAAAGTGTAATTTCCAAAAAGTGGTTGAAAAAAATTTAACAGTTTTTGTTACAGGTTTACTGAAGTTAGGTAAGTTAGGAATGCCTTAGTGTTAATCTTCTGCTGTCAGTGGCTCACTGTTGAATGAACAGCTTTTCTAGCACATGCTCCTGAGGTTGTCAGACAGAGTAAAAAGGAGCTGTTTCATTTGTTCTTATTTTTTCCCCCCTTAATGAATCACGCAAAGCATGCTTTCTGATTTTGTAACTCAGTTATACATGCAATTTTAACAACTGACTAGCCAGATGCTTTGTACGGCTATTGAAAGTAAAGACAAATAACTTTCTCCCTAAACAGTAAAAGGGGTGAAATCTAGGCTCAAAGGCAGAGGTTACAGAGCTCCAGTGACGAGCATTCAGAGCTGAGCCTGACAGGAGGATGCTGCAAGAAGTGAAATAGTGAGAGTCTGAGTGGTAGCTTTAGCTGTGGTGTCAGACAGGTCAGACCTTGAAGGTATTAGGTAGCCAGATCTCATATTAGGAATGATAAAGGTGCATCTCAAAAGTGATGTCTGGGCTACCAATCTGAATAAAGGACAGTGACGCTATTGTCTGCAGTAATTAAGAAAAAAAACCGGGGAGAATTGAAATTCATGCTTATTATGCTGACCAGTGAGACTGTATTGCCTTTCCACATTATTCCAAGAGAACAGATGGATTTCCTCTCTAAAGGCTTGTCACTGTTTGCAGAGCATCTAAGACAGTGATTGCTAGCTAGCTGGGTAACTAGAACAACTAAGCACAAAAGTGATATAAATACTTGGTATTATTTAATCAAGAATTTGCATCTCCCACATTCATTATATAAAGAAGTTTACAGATTAGTAAATTACATCCTGCAGAGCTGTGTCTGAGTGTGCAATCACTTTCACAAGGTACTGTAATAATTTTTCAGTCTTTTTTAATCCAACTAAAAATGTTAGTGATATTTTACAACACATAACCAGCAATTTATAGGGTTAGACTGCAAGACAGTAGCTTTATCCTCCTGCCAGAAAACAGTATGAACTATATCTGCAGTGATTTGTTGCTGTCACCTGAACACCCTCTAGAGGTAGGTAAGGAAGCCCTCAGTCTGAAATTAAAACAGATCTGTACCAGTAACAGTATAACCTGCCAACGCCGTCTGTCCATCACAGAACTCTTCTGATTTAAAGACAGAAGTTTTATTAGTGAGCCATCACAACAGATCAAATGCTGCAAATACCATGTGTGTGCACCAAATACTGCTCCACAATACACACTGCACTGGGATGGATGCAAACACTTCGGTTCATTGCCAGAGGCTAAATGTAGGTATGCAGAGCTGAGTGGGACTCAATAATAAACTTAACCCATTCCCAAAATCAAAGTATACTTCATTTGTCTTGCCTGAGTCTTTTGTAACTTACTTCAACATCTTTTCAACTGTTCATGTTCTCATTCAGGCTCATTTTCATATCAGTCTTACAGAGTTTTGCGTCTTTTATAATCGAGACAGAAAACAATAGAATTTTGCCATGGATTACTAATCAGGAAAAACACAATCTCAATTTTATAAAATCATATTTATTAAATACTGACTGATAGTCAATTATATCTTCCAGCTACAGATTGTATCTGAAATGTCACTATCTACACTGGTTTAATAAATCTGAGTTTTCAGTCATTATCTATTACACTATTTATGATTAACTCCTAAAGCTGATGATAAAAGCAAGTCAAATAGAATACCATGACCTTTCCTTGCAGGGAAGCAATTTAAACATATGGGCAGGCAAAAAAAAAATACTGGAGAGCAAAATCACACAAAGGATTTTTCAAAGAAAATCCTTCTCTTCTGACACTGGTGTGATAACACATTTCAGTTTGATATAGATACTTCAGCTCCATCTTTCCCATTAATGAACAGCAACAATAACAACATTTAATCTAATTTTATTGTATTTTTAGATGTCTTTGATATTTTATAGGTGTCATTAACTCAGCTATAGTTTCAAGGAGAAATTCCCTGGACAAGGATAAGACTGCTCTGGAGCGACTGAATTCCTTCCTGCAGAAAAAGTCTCTGAGGATTATATTTCTCACCAAGCCAAAGGGTATTCAGAGATGGAAATATCAGATGTCTCTCCTCAGGTCTTCTTCCAAGTGTGCCTGTACTCATGACAGAGTGCAGAGATTGGGCTGCACTCCTGCTTCGTCCCTTCCTGTCAAACTACCCACAGGAGCAGCCAAAATGTGACCTAATCTCCAGCCAAATGTGGACTCAGGTGGGAATAAAACAGCTGAGGCTCATTCTCAGCAAAGAGGAGGGTGCTGATGGCATGAGGATTGCTGTCCCCAGTAGATGTTAAGTCTACAAGAGCCATCAGCAAGATCAGCAGCAGTCCAGAGGAGATGCTACCTTCTACACCCTGCTGGGAAAATTCATCTTGCAGGTACAGATCATGCTAGAAGTGCCAGAGGATGTGGACACCTGCTTGGGGAGGGGGGCAGCCCACATGCAACTGCTCCCCAGCCAGGCACATGGCATGGCTCATGTGTGTCACCTGCCTTTCTGGAAATGCAAGAGACTAAGACATACAGCAGGGCTACATGCTGGTGCTCTGAAGAAAGGGTCTGCCTGTTGCACAGTGTAATGTTTTGCTATAGGAGTTTCAAGCAGTTTATATACAGTATTCAAATTGCACAGACTAGGGTTCATCCATTATTCTAACTTGATATGAAATCAAATTAATGAATAAGCACCTTATAAAGCAGAAAAATGCTGAAAGCTATTGTTTTAAGTCTAAAGACAAGCTTGGCCTCTGACTCTGATAATAAGTCAGATACCTGTATTTGCTTTAGCTACGAGAACACACATACACACACACACACACAAAATACACCAACATTTACAAGGGAAAAACCACAACTGAATGCAATTTTCATTACGTAGAAAAATATTACTGATTATTTTCTCAGGTCTGCACAAAGGGTCAAAACCTCAGTGGAAGAAAGATGTAAAGATCAATAGAACTCTTTATCTATATTTAAATCTGATAAATTGATTCACTTTGGTACTTCAGCTTCTCTCAACAGGAAGCAAATAAGAAAAGGGAAAATGTCAATTAAAACATGTTAATAATGTAAGATAAGCCCACATTTCTAATTTAATCGTTTCAAAATTCAATGTCAGTCAAGTACTGTTACAGTCAAGTAGATATTCATAAATTCTCCCTCACTTTGAAGATTTTGTTCCCATCTAGGTAATGTCTTCTGCCTCTGTACACTTCCACAAGTGCTCTCAACATAGCTCTCCCTACACAGTATCTCCAAACAGCAAAATCTCATGTGGAGTGCCTGCATATACAAAATATAATAGCTTCAACATCTTTGGAATAGGCCTTCAACCCTCCATACAAAAATTTCTCAAGTATGTCTTCAGAAGGTTTATAAACATATCTCTAATTCAGATGGTTTTCACCATCATCCCTGATTGAAAGACAGAGCTTTTATCAATGCTCAGTTGATGATTTCTACTAACTACTACGTAAGTGCTATTAACTACTAATAATGCCACTAAAAATTACATCTAAAAGCATTTTCAGGATGAAAATCAAAATTCCTTCCAAAGTGCACTTATAAGTCGCGATCACCACCTGCCTCATCACTGCCTACAAGAATCTGTCAATTCCAATGCCCCGGCATGCAGATTAGTGGAAGCCAAATCACAAGTTTAGTCAGCAGCCAGTGTGACCTTTCAGGAAGGCTAACTTTCCAGACAGTATCTCCAAGCACCAAATCAAATCTATTGCTTCCAAGCTTAAAGGGGGAGAGAAATATATTTGTTTGAACAGCTTGTTTTGTTATATAAAAATTTACAACACCTAAACAGCAAAACTGTTCCTCTTTTTTTTCTTCTTTTTTTTTTTTTTTTTTTTCCAGAATTCTACTTCATCTTCAGTCTACAGATGCAGTTATTAATGGGTTGTTTTCTCAAGAAGAGAAACATCCATTGATTGAATGACTGGCAATTCAGTAAATCACTAAAGTGCACGTGTACCTAGTGTGACTAACTGCATGTTGCACAGGAAGTGTCCTGAAACCTCCTCTGAGAAACTGACATTTATTTCACGTTGCTAGTAAAAGCAATTTAGGTGGGGCCAAAGGCATGAAAAGTTCCACCTCCCAGCTGCACTTCAGAAGGGTTTCAGGGACAGCTCTGAGAAACACCCTCCCTCTGCCAGCACAGGCTCCTTTTTCCTTCCCACTGCAGATATCTGCAGGGAGCTCACTGAACCCGTACACAAGCTGCTTTACATTTCCTGCCACCAATAAGCATCCTTTTGCAGAGAGCAGCAAACAAGGATGTGCTCTTCTACGGCAATGGCTCATAAAAGGCACACGCACACACACACACACAAAGACTATAGGAACTGTTGCACAGAGATGAGAGAAGACACAGAGATTTCTTTCCTCCAAATAATTTTACGGGCCACTTCTAACCTCAGTCAGCATGTAGCAGTGTATTTCAAGCTGATGAATCCACTGTGTGATGTTCTGGCAACATGGCAATGCATCTTCTCCAGAATGGGGCCACATGAAAGGACATCACCTGCTCTCCAAACCCAGCCCTGTGCAGACACCACGCGGGGCTCACACCAGCTTTCTCTGAGCATTAACTGTCATGCTCTAAAGACATGTCAGCGTCACCATCAAAAAGACATGCTTGCTGATACAGACTCCTCTCCTGGGGAAACCAACCTGCGTTTCCAAGCTCCCTGCCAAACACCTCCATGACTTACAGAAGTGCATCCAACACATTTCATTTTCTTTTTCCCACAAAGGCCCTCTCGGGTCTGTCAGGATCCATACAAGTTATATATTTAGAAAAGGCCCCAGCAGTAACTTTTAAGTGCATACCTGTTAACAGAGCATGGAAGAAGATTTGTGCATTTGCGTCTAATGGGTAATTCTCAGATACCATGCTTATGGATGAGTTTAAGCCATACAAAGCAATTAAATTTAGTGCACTAGAAGAAGATAGATGCTATTTCTGACTGAATGACCTCAAAAGAATGGGCATAGATGCTCTAATCTGAGGCCCTAGCAAACCATGGAGCATCTGAATATGTTTGGTAATGTTGTTTTCCTCTCAAAGCAGAAAGATCTTACTCTCTTGGATTTGTCATATTTGACTCCTGGCACCAGTACGTTGATACCATATGATACCTGCTATGACTACAATAAAATAATTAAAACTCTCAAAAGGTTTAATGTGTTCCCTTCTTTCAAGCAGGGAGCCTCAAAGCAAGAAGGTAGCCAAGACAAACAGGGATATATTGCTTAAATCAAGAAGTGGGCAGGTACAGAACTTCCTTTCTTCATTATTCCTAATCAGTTTAAGAGCATGATTCATGTGTTAAACTTCATTTGATACAAGTGTGGGGAAAAATAGTGAATTACCCATTGAACACACAATAGAATAATTAAAGGAAGCTGTAGGTACTCCGTGCCTTTCAAAATCCATCACTCTTCAAGAAAAAGTTACGTACATATTTACGTCCATCTTTGTTAAGGAAAACCTACACATTTATGCTTGAATATCTTCTTGGATGAAGGCCAAGCAGAGAAATTCAAATATGTGTAACTGGAGGACTGTGTCCACCTCTGAATCACCAGCCCAGACCATACATGCTCATGTATTCTTTCAAGTAGAATACAGTGGCTAAGACTACACTTCAGTGCCCAAAGTGATGAACGTTTTGTGAGCTTCCTGTAAAGCAATTACACTGCAACTCAGACAGCTATCACAAGATAAATCTACTGTTCAACAGAAAATTGAAAATACTTCTTGATCAAATGCAGCTGAACTGTAAGACAGTCTTTGAACTTTTAATTAATGTCTGTAAAGGAATTTTACTTTGACATGAGCACACCAACTGCTTAAAATTATTTTGCAATTGATAAAACCATACAGCTGATGAATTTTCTACCTTAACTGAGCTGCAGTGGCAATCCCTTGGGCAATCAAAGTCTGCTCTCTTACAGGAAACCTGCAAACCAAACTCTTAAAAAATCTCTCACAGAAAACAAAAAGGGAAACAAAAATACACAAGTTTTCCCAAATTCAATATAGTTTATATAATACATACAGTCAAAAGCAAATTTTAGTCTACCAGCACTAAAAAAAAAAGTAAGAATGCATGCTCTGTTGTGTGAATAGTTTGCAAAGGGAAAGAGCAAGATTTATTATATGAAAAAGTATCTACCTCATTAGGAAGAAGGTATCAAATAATATCTATGATGTTTACATGTTAAAGATTTTTCATTACATACTATAATTTATTTGTCCTACTCCATCTTATTTTACCTGTGTGAAGAAGATACAGTTTTCCTTCAAATAAAATCTGTGGCAAATATCATTAATTTTCATCAGACATATAATTTATGGCAATGGAAATATGTTAAACACTTGGCAATTAAGTTTTGTCTGTGAATGACTAAGAACCAACTGCCCTACAGCACTGAGTTTTATTTGCAATATTAGTAGTTGACATTATCTAGGAATAAAAGCTTATATACATATATTTCTATTAAAAAAAAAAAAAAGTAATAAAATTAAAAAATGTGCTTTTCCATTCCACTAAAACTAAAACTACTAAACGAAACTGTTTCCTGCATTTTCAGGAGTATTGGTAGATATATTAATGATGATTATTCTAATGAATATTGAATTCGCTGTTAATGAAGGAATGATAAATGGTATTTCATTTGGTGGATGCTAGGCATTATTTGTAAGTATTAGAAAAATTTTATCTCAATTCTACTTTCACCCAATTCGGGGAATTTAATTCATCACAAACAACAGTAAATCAAATTTGGAGCACTGAAATTGCATCAGATCTAAGTATCGTGACATTTATTTTTGCTTTTTACAGTCAAATACTACAGAAACTTAAAAACTAATAATAAAAAAAAAGTCTCCAGCTCATTAAGCTATTGTCTAGAACTTACTGTGCAAATCTGTCACACAAATAGCGTCTCACAGGCAATTAAAATCTTCCTAAAATCTTCCCAGCATCCTCTAAAACAACTACCCCTTTGAGACAACACATATTTAATGTCACATTACATATTCATAGATTGCCCTACCCCTGGCCAAAATCTGTAATTCCAGCCTTCACCATATGAGGCTGCAGGAAGTTCATCCAGAGTTCCCACATCACACAAGATACTCAGTCAGCAAGACAAGAACCATCACTCAAAGAAAAAACACATCTAAGATAGGACTGTTACCCCTGACTATAACGCCAATTATAATAATGACAATTATTATAATGCCAAACCCAAACACTAACATACTGTACCATTGACCTCACTAACCACATTCACAATTCATTATCTCATTTGAGAACTGAACATTAGGACAAATAGAAGAAAGCCCATGTGCATGAACTCTCACCAGTCCTGGTCTTAGTGACTTTCTCAAATAAAACCTTTTGTTCTCTTCATTCTAAGAGGCTGAGGAACAGTTTTGATTTTTATGGCAAAGCAGTGTTTCCCCTGGACCACTCCTGTTGAATGAGAAAGCAAGGCCAGTACAAATGAGTGAACTGAGGAAACCAAGCCTGAAAAGAACGAAATGTGAAACAATATTTGGGTAAGTGAAAATCAGTTCTTATGCACATGATATGATAAATATTCCCAGTCCTGAAGATCCTCAAGCAGGCAATAGCTCTCCAACAAAAATTGAATGAAAAAGAGAAGCTACATGTTATTTGTTGCCCATGATAGGGCTCCAGAAGAGGGCTACTGTCCATGAACAACAGTAGGAAAGTGCACGAATGCATTGTTGTTGCCCATTTTATCTTCTCCTGTGATCACAGAGAACATGCAAGTGGTTTTGAAAATTGTTGTGTCTTGCCTCTCTGGTTAGAGTCTCATGACTGAGATGAACAGTACAAGAACACGCAGAAAGTGAACATAAATAAAAAAAAAACAAGCAAGCCCAATTAAAAGAACAGCAGAGCATGTGGTACAGAAAAACCCCATTCATCCATATGGTCTGGGACCACTGTTTGGGCAGCAGCCTCAGTGCAAAGGGCCTTGGGGTTACTGTGCACATGGCAGGTTGTGTTAAAGCCAATAGCATACACCCATCAGAGATAAGGGAAGGAACATACAGTTATTTTAGAAGAGCACGACCAGAAAACTGAAGAAGGTTGTTATTCTCCTTTATTCAGCGTGCCCTCACACCATGGGACCCAGTTGTGCCCTGCCACCAATTGATCAGGGATGTGCAGAAGCTGGGAGAGACCCTGTAGAGCCACTAAGAAGGTTTGGGGCCTCAAGTACAAGAGGCTCGTGCAACACAGAGAGGCGGAGGGAGCTGAGCTCCTTCAGTCTGGCAAGAGGGTGATCTACCAGTTGACCAGCAGCCTACAGCAAGTTAAGCAGCCTACAGCTACCTGAAGAGAAACTGTAAGGTTAAAGAAGCCATATTCTTCTTGACAGTGTCAGATGATACAAAAAGGAGAAATGACCAGAAATTGCCAGCTGGGAGGTTCAGGTTGACTCTTCCCCCATCCCAAACTTTCTATTTTCAACAGTGGTGTAGTACAGGCCTACAACAGGGTACCCAGTGAGGCTGACCAGACAAAGACCTGACCAGACAAAGCCCAGCTGATATGAATGAGAAGAGTGTGTCCCACACATAGAGTCACAGACTGATTCAAATGCAACAAACTGCTGCAGATTTATACTGAACTGCATCTAAGTATTCACCATCATTCATTGTCACTCTCCGAAAGAAAATGCTTGCTAAACTTTAGATGGCAGTTAAACAGCTTTACATTTTTACCTTTTCAGTACCTAATAAGATTGGCTTTGCCACACCATTTATGTTGTCAGCCCTTCTATCATTTGTTATTTGTAATACACATTATACTGTTATTTGTTTTTTAAATTAATAAAAATATATTGTTACCCTAACAATATGAGGCTCTGACTCCAAAATGCTACTTGAAAAGATAAGTGCCATAGATCTACCCACAAATCACCTGGAACGAGTTCATTAGATGCCCTAAGATGGATAAAATAAAGTGATAAAATCATTTCTCCTGCTTTCTGATAGGCAAGTATTTAGGGTGGTGCACATTATTGTGTTTTGAATCAGAATGTAGAATGTAGAACCTCCCTAATTATACCCATAGCGCAGTATGATGCAGCACTGTTAGCTCAGATGCAAAGAAACTGCTGTTCAATAGCCATCTGATCATTAGTAAAATATGTCTGGAAAGCAGATCTGGAAAACTAAAATAGCTAGTTACATGTTTGATGGCATCATTAGACTTTTTCAGAAATCATTTCTTAGCCCATTTCCATAAAGAATGCAAAGAACAAGAAGAAGAACACTGTAGTGGGTCACAAATTCATCTAGCACAGTGTCTTATCTCCAGCAATCACCAGCAGAAGATGTCCATGGAAACATCAATACAGGTCACGCAAAGTGATACAGTCCCTGGTGCATGCATCCAGCCCTGCGATTTGTGATTCAGAAGCTTCCAGAGCAAAAGGTGGTGGCTTTGAAAAGACAATGACATTACCATGAAAAATGTTAAAGACTTTTGCACAGAATTTATTAAAAAGTTAGTAAGAAACAGAAACTTTATTATTCTTGAAATAAATCCAACATGTTAAAGTAAGAAACTTACGCAACTAATTATATCCTACCAGTAAAAACAGTATCAAAGAGTAATACTTTTTCTGAGCTTCTCATGCCATCTCTTTTTCAGAATGTCAGTTAAGAATAAAAATAATACAAAATCCTTATGACAGCTGAAGATGAAACCCAGAGTTAAATTTGCAACAAATCTGGAATTCCCCTTTGATCCGTCTAAGGCAGTGTCTACACGTTCTTATCAAACTAACCAAAGAACCCAAAATAATCTAAACAAACAACGACAGCAACAACAAAAAGAAATTCTATGACATCCCAAGACAACGGCTTCTCAGAAGTTACAATATTACAGCATTTTAACATACGTGCACGTGCATTAAATATGCACATGCTCCATGTGTAGGTGATGTGGTGTGGCATAAATACTTTATTAGCAGGAGTTTAAGTTACTGACTCATTACTCACAAATGGTATGAATGTTCTTTTCTGATTTCATAAGCGTACATATTTTAAGTGTTCCTAAATGACTAAGAACAGAAGACTGTGGTGCTTGCAGTAAAGATTTTAACTAGGGCTTCCATGTAAAGAGCTACTGAGGTACACAAAAAGGAGCCAAGAAACGTGTAATTTATGGCTCCGCTACCCAGCACAATTATACTGAAGTCAAAGGCCCATGCTCAAGAGTAATATAGTTCATCTAGTAGCAAAAGTTTGCAGAACAGCTGTCTTTGCCAGCAGTTTGCATGGTTGTATTTACAAATAAATTAACCAACTGACTTCCAAATGCAGGTCACAACACTTGCTCCTCAGGTGGCTGGCCTATTTTTCTTTCTGCTTTGAAAGGCCAAGAAGAAAAAAGAAGAGCAAATTGGGCATAATTCTCAGCTCTAAAGTACTTTCCCTATGGAAATGAGAAATGAAAATATCACTGCAGGGACGGTTTCTCATTTGTAACTGGTGTTTATTTCCCCCCTTCTCACTGCAAAAACAAACAGACAAGACTAAATAAACTCATATATCTAAGACTTCAAACTGAAACTCCGAAAGTACCCTTGGGTTATTTCAACCGTGCGTACCACATTGAGCTTCATTTTAGGAGAACAATGATCTAGACAGAAGGTCTTACACCAGATATCCCATTTCTGTACCAGAAATAGTACAGGGCTATAATGGGCTCTGCGGTAGTCAAGAATAGCTTAGCAGAGGTAGGAGCAGACATCTCATCCACATACTTAGTAACGTCTTTGCCACTCTAAGCTGTTTCAAGACTTCTTATTGTTTGTTAGTTTGCTTTTAATTACTTTTACTTATTTAGTTATTTTTATTCTGTAAGAAAGTATGTTTTCTAAGGTGCAATTGTATTTGATTAGGTGGCTGGAAAAAAGGAGCCTGAAACATCAGAAATATTATCTGAATATTTGGCAGTCAATAATCAAAATTAAATAAATACCTTAAAAGAATGTATAGACTGGCAATGAAGATGGCTGACAAATTGACATCCAATGGAATTTCAAATGCACCTTAAAAACAGGGAGCAGTAGTAGTCACAGATCCTTAAAGGTAATATTATTACTAGGTGCCTTTATATTACAGTAATGTTTCAAGCTCTTTCACACAGATCTGCTCAGATAAAAGATATAATGTTGGCATTTACAGCTGCCAAAATTGCCATTTGCAATTAAAAATTAAAACTGGCACTCATTCTATGCAGGCAATTATCTAAACGCAGCTGGCGATCTTCCTTGTTTACAGTGCTGCTGTGTCATGACTTCACTCTGTTTGGAAATTTACTTTTTTTTTTTTTGGTGGTTTAAACTTGTCAACTTTATTTCCAACTTGAACTTTACTTGTTTTAATGGTTTTCATCGTGATGTCAGAGAGAAAGGTCCAAAATTGCAATTTATGGATTTTCTATGGCAACTTCAGGCACTGCAGTAAGACAGCTCCTAGCAAGTAGTTCAGAGATTCTCCCACTCTTAATTAAGCATGATCTACACCGCAGGAGAACACCTGTAAGAACCCAAATAGCAAAGTGTACCCAATGAATGCCCTCCAAGAAGAAAGTTCAATCTGTAAGGGTGATTTGCACAGTAAAATAGACTGGGCAGCTCTACTCGAGGGTCAAAAAGCCTTATACTGGCTAAACAATAATGTTACATCTGTTCCTACTCTTTATCATCTATAGCAATTTTGATCTCCTAAGGAACTCCATCCTCGATGTATTACACTAAGCACACTGCCATGTTTTTGGCAAAGTACTTTTCCACCCATGAAAACTTATATGAAAGAAGGATTTGGGGATTCCCTGGCTGCTGGGAGAGGAGTCGTCTCTGTGCTACCAAACAGCTTTGAGGGACCAGTTGCTGCTTTTTCACCGGAGCTGCTGAAACCGCTATCTTGATTCCAGCAACTCTCATGGAAAATAGTTACCTACGGCAAATCAATTAAATCTTCCTTTCTCTTAACAATATATTTTCTGTGGCCAAACACAGAAATACCTTGTCCTGCACCCCTGTTACAGGTCACACCTATCACACTCCATTCGTAATTTATCGCAGCGTTTCCACCTAGTGCTCCATTGCAATGCCTCCTTGCCAGACACCGTGTTGCGTGTCTTCACCAGCCGTCCAGCAGGCTTTCGAGCCCGACCTTTCCCTCAAGCATTACAAAAAACCGTGGCGGCAGAGGATCGCCATCGATGTGAGGACCACTCGGAGATACCTGAAGTAGTTACAGGGCTCGGATCCCCTCACACCGCTATCCCGGGCAAGCCTGTGTGGATAAATCAGCGCAAGGTACCCGGCGCCGTATCAGTGCCGCTCAGCACAGGGGACGCAGGGATCAGTCACACGCTCCCTCGGAAAGAGGGGAAGCTCTAGCCCGAAAGGAGGAGTTAGGTTCTCAAAGAAAAGGCGTAGAAATGCCATATACCAGAGAAAAGGCTGCTCGCTGCTTCCTTCCGAAGCAGCTGAATCCCCCTTGCGGGCAGCAGGTGGGCGCAAGGGGGGTTGCCCGTCGGGGAATAGGAGCATCCCCCGGCGCAGTGTGCCTCGGAGCCGAGCCCACGAGTGGGGTGGAAGCACCGTGGGTAGAAGCGGCGCCCCGCGGGCTCTCCGGCAGTAACTTTGCAAAGCCTCCCGCCCGGTGACCGCCGGGCAAACGCCACGCCGGGGACCGGCCCCGCTGTCCCTCGACGGGGCGTCCCGCGGGTTAGCGGGGGTTAAAGGGGGATAACGGGGGTTAGCGGGGGTTAGCGGGGGGTTAGCGGCTTTCCCGGCGCTTTTCCCGCAGGTGGCAGCGGCCCCGCCGAGCGCGGGGCGATGCTCGGGGAGCGGAGCGATGCTCGCGGGGAGGATGCTCGGAGCCCGGCGGCTCCAGACGGGACGGGAGGGGGTCGGTACTCACACGAAGGCGTGGTAGACGAAGGCCCAGCCGCGGGGCCGCTCCAGCACGTTGTACAGGTAGTTCTGCAGCCGGCGGTACTTGGCGTTCCTGCGGCAGCTCGGCCCGCTGCTGTACGACAGCGGCTTGCCCAGCAGGCTCATGCGGGCGCCGTGCTTCCCTCGGCGGCCCTCCCGCAGCCCGGCGGGGGCGGCCGCGCCGCCGGCGGTGCCCAGCAGCAGCAGGCCGTCGCCGCGGGCCGCCGCGCTCGCCAGCGCCCTGCCCCGGCCCGACTCCACATCCTTCATGCCCGCCGCCGCGCCGCTCTTCACCCAGAGCCCCGCGGAGCCGCCCTCCTCGCCGCCGCCGTGGTTGCGGGGCATGGCATCACCCCGGGCGCCGGGGCGGGCGCCGGGGCCGCGGCGGAGCAGGGCGCGGGCGGCGGCGGCGGCGGCGGCGGCCCGCAGGAGGCAGCGGGGGCCGAGGGGCTCCGGGCGGCGCCCGCGGACCGGGGGGGCGCGGGCCACTTCGGGCGGCCCGGGCTGCGGCAGCTTCGCGGGGGCCCCGGCGAGGCGGGCGGCGGGCGCCCCCCCGGGCAAGCTCTCCTCCCCCCGGCCGGCGGCACCCCGTGGCTCCGCGGCCCGGGGCGAGGCGAGGAGCCCGGGACGGGGCGGCCGGAGGGCGGCGGGCGGGCTCCGGGAGGCCGCGGGGGCCCCCGGGCCGCGGCTCGGCGGCGCCTCCCGCCGCCCCCTGCCGCCCCTGCCGCCTCGGGCTCCGGGCGAGCGGCGGAGGAAGGCGGCGAGGAGGGCGGCAGAGGCGGGGAGAGCGGCGGGGCGAGCGGCCGGGCGGGACGCGGAGCCCGCAGGCTAGGCGATGTCCATGCAAGTCCCAGAAAGTCGCCCGGTTGCCGCCGCTCGTCGCGGTCGGAGGGAGGCTCGGCCGCCGGCGGGACCCCGCTGCGGGCGGGGAGCGCGGCCGGCCCGGGCGGGGCAGCGCAGGAGAGCCGCCCGGTGTCCCCCCGAGGGCGCGGCGCAGCCCCGGCGCTTCCGCCGTGCCCCGGCCCCGCACGGTCCCGGCGGCGGCGGGGGCTGCCCTCGCCGCGGGCTCCTCGGTCCCCCCCACGCCCCCCCTCCGCCGCCCCTCTGCCCCCGTGCACGGCGGCTCCGGCTCCGCTTCGGTGCGGCCGGAGCGCAGCGGTGCCGCCGCTCGGTGCCCGAGCTGCGCCGAGAAAACAAAGCTCCCCCTGCCGAGAGTGGGCCTTTAACTCCCCGGCGCATCAAGGTGAGCTTGCGGAAAAAAAAAAAAAAAAAAAAAAAAAAAAGAAATCCACCCCGCAACGCCGCAGGCGCGGCCGCTCTCCGCGCCTCTCCCCGCCCGCAGCCGGAGGGAGCCTTGGCCGCCGGTTGTTTGCCGGTGCTCGCAGGGTGCCCCCAGTCTCGGGGAGGCAGCCCCCAGCCCCGTCGCTCCGCGGCCACCCGCCGCCCGCGCCCATGCCAGGGGCTCGGCACCGGCCACCGCCCCGTCGGGGGTCGCCGCGGTGGCCGCGGGGTCGCGGGAGCCCCGTGGGACACGGGGGAGCCCCGTGGGACATAAGGGAGCCCCGTGGGTGCTCTGCAACCGGCTCGTTGGGAGCAAGTGCAGGGCACTGTTTTTGCAGTCTGGGCACTGCCATGTGAAAATACGATGCCAACTCGGGATGGGTTAGTGAAAAGTAATAATTTGGGCTCCGATGTTATGCTAAAAAGAACAGAGGCATTCGGATATTCAGTTAGTTTTTGGTTTTTCATTCGCATTGGCTACTTATAGGCCGGGTTCTCAAGCCTTTGATTAACACGTGTATCTCCAACTTTCATAAAAGAACCTTGTGTTCTGGCTGAGGACACTAACTTGTGCCTCTAAAGCAACACGGAAGCATCAACGGCACTCATTTGCTGCTACCGTGTCTCCAAAGCCCTTCAGTCGGTTGTCTTTACACAAAGAGCTTAATCTTCTTCCTTTCTTCATTGCACTTCCTCTCTCACAGCAAGCAGCAGCAAACAGGAACTTTCGAACTCACAAACCACGACGGCCACTCAGACTCATGATAAGGGGTGGCAGAAACAGCACACATGTCAAAACAAATGTTAAGTAGTTGATATAAGTATCCACAGCAACCCCATTAATATTTAAGCTTTCCAGTGGCACATATCTACTCCTTCTTCGAATTGTAAATTGAGTTAGTTAATCCTTCATTTACCACTTGTTTGCATTTCCCTGTTTTAATATGCGAGTGTTCATTTTTCTCATCCCTCTGTACCCATTTCCAGCCAAATATGTACAGCATGCCTTTGAAATCTGCTGGGCCTTGTGCACCAGGCTTGGATTCACACCCTCCCGGCCTTAGTCACTTGAGTGAAATATTTGAGGATGGGTACTCAGGTTCCAGAAAGCTGAACCATGCTGGCCAACTGGGAGCATGCGACCCAGCCTCCTCTCTGCCTCTGCACTCTGTTCCTGTCCCCATCCCTGTCCCCATACCCATTCCATGGGTGCTCCCCCATGCTCTTCATTCAGCTGCCAGTCTAACTGCATGTGGTCACGAAGCTGCACACGCATGTGGCTGCTGTTAGGATTGAGGCTACAAGCTGGGGGCATGGGCAACCAACTGCGAAAGTGGCTGAACTCCTGCTCCTGATGTACTTTTGGTGACCCGCTAAGAAATATTGTTATAATTCTGTGCCCTCTAGTGGTGCTTAGAGTCATCTATTAATTTAAATAATAGTATGGAAAGCAGCCTGTGAGCACAAAGAGTTTAGGCCAATATTGAAAAGTAGGCACGCATGCCAGGACAGCTAGAAGCATAGGCAGTGTAATACTGTTAGGGATGAATTATGTTTCATTTTTACTGTGTGTGAACACGGTATTTTCCCATTTATTATCTTTTATTAGATAATGCCCAGAAAAAGTATGTATTATGAAGAGAGATTGATGGTAATTAATCTAATCCCTACTTGCTAATATGTCAGATAACCAGGGTGCAATGTGCTGGTCAAATGCTGAGTGGATTCAAACTGCAGCTGCCTGCCCTGCACCAGGCAGAAGGGCTGTACTATGTATAAAAGCCTGTCGTCCCCTAAGTATTTATTGCAAAATAAGGGTCTGCACTTATACGACAACAATTTCCACTGATATTTTGGCTTCAGACTAGTATAATACCCACAGGAATGAGTCGAGTGAAATTCTAGCGTGTCCGCGTGGTCCAAGGTCGTCCTGGGTTCAGGTGTCAGTAAGAGGATCTACTTGACGAAATCTCCAAGGCAAGAACATCCCAAGGAATCTTGGCTTCTAGAGCCTGCAGGTACACTATATCCCACTCACAGGCGGGACAAGGAAAGTGGCATGCTAAAGTGCAGCTGGTGAGTAGCTATCGCAGTGCTTTATGGCAAATGCCAACAACACGTGCTTACCAAATCATAAATCACAGTTTTTAAGATCCTGTTGCATTATTCCAAATACATCAAGCATTATATAGCCTGACTTGGAGAAGAGTCAGCTGATATGTATGATCTTTTCTGCTCAGGTGCAAAATGTTTGGGATTTTCAAAGTTTTCTTTTCAATATGTTGCTCATGATATGTTGTTGTAAATCAGTGTTTCTGTGTTCCACTTTAATAAAAGAGACAGGATGACTTAAACAGGAATGATATTCCCTTACTTATAATAAAATGTGTTTCTGCAACAGCATGTAAAGTTCTTATCTAAGACGTTAACTAATGTAATTTGGGCTTAGCCACACTAGAATTTAAAGCAGGCCTTCACAAGGATTAAATTTATGGATAAATAACAGGAATATGCAAACACACTGGTGTAATCATAATACAGTCTATGGCTGACTGCACAGATATTAACAGAAGAGCAAATTGTAAAAGGGCAAAAAGAGGAAAAACAAGAAGCCTTGTTGCTTGGGAAGGCATGGCCTAGGGTTCAGGATGTCTGGTTCCCTCTGTGCAGCCAGGCCAGACAGCAGCTAAGCCTGACCGTGTCACATCCAAAGCACCTGAGCACACAGGCAGATGTTTAACTGAAGATCAGATGTGTACCTCGGAGATCAGCTTTTAGTATTTAAATGTATTTTAGTATTTAAATGTTTTTGGAAAATCTCTTTGTGTGCCTCCATGTCATATCCATCACAGTGGTGGTGGCAATTCCTTCTCAGAGGTGTTCGCTAAAATACATGGGACAGTATTAGGCACCTGAAGGCTGCAGAGGGGGGGAGACACTGCAAATCTCGGGCACACAGTGTCTGTGCTGAGCAGCACGGCAGCCTGCCTGTGAGCTGGAGGGCCCTCGTAGCAACGCTTTGCAAAGGTCAGCTTACCGTGGTATCATGTTTTGAGTTCATTCGAGTTGCTTGTTAATAACCTTTTTTGGTGTTATATAATACTGCAAGGTATCGAGTGCACTCTAGTTTTGCACCTCTTTGTAAGATTTTTAGCTTTCTGTCTAATTGTATGGAGGAGGGGCTCCATGTAGCTATTTTGATACCAAGCATACAGGATTCAGGAATAAGTTTTCAAAGCAATTAGTTGTTAGGAACAATTCATTTGTTATACAGAATTATTGTGTAGGCCTGTAATACAGTGGTGTGCATCTCCAGGAAACCTAGAATGAAGGATCATCACTGCATAATAAATCATTAGGAAAATGTAAGATGGGGTGAAGAACATGGTTGGATGTGTATTGCAAGCTGTCTAGCGAGTGCATGCAGCATGCTAGAAGCTGTAGCAGGTCTTTGATATCAATGGTTCAAAATGTTGGAATATTATATATATATATATTCCAAAATGTTTGAATATTTTCCTGCAAGCTTCTTTCACATAAAAGGGAGAAGCTGGGCAGCCAGCGGCAGGAGGTACTGCATGCACTGAACAAGGCAGAAAGGAGTGCCCGACCTCCCCTGCACATCCTTCATGTTATCCCTTAACCTCAGCCTATAGGGAGCACCTTCAGGAGTAATTTAGTTTTGATGTCCCTTTTATGTGCTGACCTCACTGTTGGACTGCTATGGGGTTGCTTTCTCTGAGGAAGACCTGTCTCCATGAAGAGCTGTCCTGAGACCAGACTTTCATTTCAAGCAGACCATGGTCTTGCTTTTGTGCTAGGCAGCTGTTCCAGCAAATGTTCCAGAAAATGTTCATTTTGCTTCCTGACATCTTCCGTTTCCTTTTACTCATCACATATTCATGCCTGATAAGAGAATTAATTGATTCTATTAATTCCTACTTAACAAAATATCTAAGCAGCATTTTCCATTAATAAGACATGACTCTCTGTAAAGTCATTGTCAGACCCCAACACTATCTCTTTTCTATTCTTCTCTCCTACTTTCTATTTATTTTTTTTAACCTTACTATTTTTTGGGGCTTTTATTCTCTCATTTGTAAGTGTCTTCCCTCTGTGATTCAACTGTCTGGACTCATGAACAAACTGTCTACTGCCCAAAACATTAGGCCGTGCATCTCCAATGGAGGCAACTCTGCCCCAGTTGCAAGGCCTGCTGTGTAGATCATTCCTACTCTCTGATCTAATGAAAACAAAGCATTTGCTTAATTAAAAGAAAAAAAAAAAAGAAAGAAAAAAAGAAAAGAAAAAAAGAAAAGAAAAAAAGATGAGTCTATACTGAGACCTGCAGAGCACTTGAATCGTAATAAAGCTGGGAATAATATAATATAATATGAAATAGTTTTTT